CCGTATGTGTTTTCAGTTGGTTCTTCTCGTTGTGTGTAAGGAGTTTACTTCATCTCAGGTGAGATTGGGTGTCTATGGTTGGGCAATTGGTGAGTAACGTGTGATAAGGTGTTTGGTTCATTCAGGTGCGAGTTATTAGTCTCTTGTGAGAGCGGGGTTCGTTACCCTTTTTGTTTGTTCTGGTCTTGGCAAGGACATCGTTTGTCGTGTGTCTTGTCCTCCATCTGGGAGTTGTGTGCATTCGTGGATAGACAGACCTGTATGTGGGTTGTTATGCTGTTAAGGTTCATTGGTGAAGGTTTGGTTATGTGGGTTGACTCATTCCCACGGAGGGAGGTGTAGTCTTTGGTTTTTGTAGTGCTTGTTCTGAGAGTAGTCTTAACCGGTGGAATGTGAGGCATGGGTTGCCGAATAGAGATTGTATGTTTCCAGTGTCTGGTACTAGCGGAGATGGCTAGGGGATGCGTCGTGAACCGAGAATTAAGGATGATTAGGTGATGTAATGTGAGTCATGTACTCGGATGTTTTTATAAGCTTTTGATTTGAGTAGTGCCTTGAGGACAAGTGTTGGTATTGTCTTAGAATTACGTGATTAGAAAAAAAAAAAAAAAAAATGAATGTGGGACTCCATTAAGGAATAATGGGATGATTGATTTTGGTTTTAAGGCTTTAGACATAAGACGGTCATATTGTGCATTTTGAAGAAAAAAGAATTGAATCAAATGATGTTATGATGTTGACTACTTGTTGTAAGTATTATGAGGTGACTGGAAAGCCTTTAGGTTGATTGATGATTGTGGTATTGGCGCTGTATTACTTTTAGCTTGTTATGATTAAGATATGAGTGGGATTTTTGGAGCTGGTATGTGACTATATAGTTGTTGAGGTTATGTAGAGCGACAGATTGATTAGAGAGTGAATCTCATGGTTGTTTTATGGACTGTGTGGGGTTGTGTATGAGGTTTAGACCTGAGGACAAGAACGACGTCTGTGTTAAGATCAGATCGATGATGAGAATGGCCTGGCCAACCATTTCTCTTAAGTCAATCCATCTTTAGCACGATGTCGGGTTAAAGGTCCATGATTGTTTTGGTTAGTCAGGGACAGTGAAAGCATAGCATTGTACATTGTGTCGACGTGATAGTGTGGATTTCGATGGTTTGTCTCGGGTGACGGGGTGTGTTAGGACCAAGTGTCCGATAAAAGGGTTTATGGTAGAATCATTGATTATTGAGGATCTTGTTTTGGGGATTTGTGTCCAGAATACAGGGTAGTACGTTTTATTGTTTTGATGACTCATAGTTATGTAGTCGTTGGGAAATCTGTTGTTTTGTCTTCTTGAAGTTGTTTAGTATGATGACTGTCATATGGCGTGGTGGTGTAGCTATACGGTGGATGGCGAATGTTTGGTCTGATAGGGACGTGTAGAATTGAGTTTGAGCTTGATTATGTGACAGATGGGGTTCCTTGTCTGGGATTTTATGTGTCTTTTAAAGGATGGACTGAGATAGGATATTGTCATGTTCAGGGGTCTTACGACCGTTCTTCTTTCAAGATCCGAAGTCTTGTGCAGCAATGCAGAGTGGACCGATGTTCATTTTGAGTCTGGTATAATGTAAGGCGTACCAAATGGTCTGGTGTTATGATGTTGTAAGTGATGAGTACCTTCATAGGGTGGTGAGTATTGGGTTTTTCTGACGACAGTGTGTGATTGCCTACTAGCATCGGGTGTCAAAGGCAACAAGGATATTGAGTTCTTAGTCTCGGGGTTTGGTGAGGTGTACTCGGAAGGTGTGTGGCTGTGGGTTTCCTTCTTTAAGGAGGGTAGATTTCGAGGACGAAATCTTTTAAAGAGGGTAGATTGTAATATTTCTGAATTTCGTCATTTTTCATTTTTCTGGAATGTTCCGTTCATGCAAGAGCATTTTTGTTTTTTCATACTTTACGTACCGGACACTGTGGGGTGTACCGGTTGTGTCCGAGAGTTGGTTGCGGCATATTATTGAGTTCAGGACTCTTTAAAATGCAAGGGTTCCCATTTTGGTATTTTTCAATTTTTCGAACCGGATGGTCCCGTGTGGGACCCGCTACCGGAATTGTCGTGTACGGGGGTGTTGGTTGAATCCATTTGCGTTACATTTATTTAATTTAATGTGTTATATGTGGTTGTGGATTATTAAATGTGTATATACATGTGTGTGGTGTAAAATGAAAATGAAAATAAAAGAAAAATAAATTATTTTTGGTAGTGGGACCCACCACCACTTTAAGTGGCAAAAAGGCCACATATGGCCTCACAATTCCCTTTCTCTCCTGTAACTCACTCTCTTCTCCTTTTCTCATCTCATTTTCTTTTTCTTTCCAAGTGGAATTTCATGTCTTGATTTCTCCCTCACCAATGGAATTTTTTGATGCCGTTTGCGGCAAAACGAAGAACACGTTAAGATCTATGATTTGATCGGAGCAATGTCTTGTTTGGTGCACTTTAGAAATTTTGAATTCTAGGGCTTGGATTGGGCAACTTGGGAGTTTTTGCAATTCTTGAGGTTAAGGTCTCTAATACACAATTTCTTGTGCTTTTGTGGATTATTCTTTCTTAAATTGTTGACTAGCATGCTCAATTTGTATACATTCATGCAAAATTGTTTAAATGTTGTATATGAGATTGTGACTAAGTGATGGTTGATGTATTGTGGAAAGCATGCCTATATGAAATAGAAATTCATGTTTTATAAGCCTATTATGTTAGATCAATGTTGAATGAAAACATAAGTTATGAGTTTAGAAGTTTATTTTGAAAGTTATGTGTGAAATTCCTTGGTAAATTGGTGAATTATAGACATGAGACATTCATGCATCCATTGGGAAAGAAAAGGGGAAAGTGTTCTAAAATAAATGAAATAATTTTTGGGAAATTATTTTAATGAAAGGTTTTGTGGAAACCCGGAAGTCTAGGAGGCGCCTAGTGGTCCGTGGTGTTAGTGTAGTCTAGATGGGAGTATGGTTGAGCTAACTAGGCCGGATGTGATGCCTTGGAGGTGCCTTGTGGTCGTAGATAGTTAGCCTATCCTTCTTTCGTGACGCCTTGGAGGTGCCTTGGGTAGGACTGTACTAACGGTTTGGAAGTTGAAACGGGAATGTTTCAGAAACGGGGAGTGACATCGCACTTCATTAGCATATATGGTGTACTTGTGATTTGATGGTGCTTGTTTATATATTTGATGTTGTGTTGATGGATGTACATCCTCGGCCTAGCATGATCCCTTTACCCCATTTTCCTATTCTTTGGCATGGATTCACGGGGTCACAAGAGGTGTATCTTAGGCACCACCTATTGAGCAATTTTGCTCACCCCCTTATTTAACATTTTTTAGGGCTCAGAAATGAAGTAGTAGACGTAGACCCTTCACAAGGCTAAGGAGGACTAGAAATTCATTTTTTTGTACTTTTTGTGTACTTGGATCTATTCTTTTGTAAAGTCTCAAAACATTAGTAAAGTGTACTCATTTTGCGAACCATGGCCGTGTATTGTAACTATAACTTTTGATGGTATTTTGGAGTAAAGTGAGATTATGTATTTATTTTATGATGAATGGAAAATGAGGTATATTTTAATCAATTATTAATGCCCTTCAATTGTATAATGCCTTGCTCTATTGCCGTAAATTCGGAACTTGAGTGTAAAACAGGTCCAGTATAGGTTTCGCTCATAACGAACACAATCAGAGATCATTCCAGAGAGTTAGATTGTGAAGAGCTATTTCGGTTGGTTGAACCTCACCATCAGCCGACCGAAGCCCCAGGTTCGGCCGACTGAACCTCCTTCATCAGCCAACCGACAGTCTATTTTGGAAAGTCCCAAGAGCACCCACTTTTGGAAATCGTTTCAGCCGGCCGACCCTGTAGGTCAGCCGACCGATCCTGCCTTGTCAGCCAGCCAACTAAGGCCATTAGTCGGCGGACCCTTCCCTTTTGAACCTGTGCACTTGCTCACTCTGTAAAACTGTGTTTTTAGAGTATTTTGGACCCTAGATAGACTCATGTGTCACGTATTGACGTAGGAATTGACGGTGTTACCCTTAGTTGACCTTGAGTTCGAGTAAGGACCAGGCTAATGGTTCGGACCTACGGGTTCGAGTCGTTACATAATTAACATGTTATTCTTTTGTATTTTCGACCTATCAATTGTCTAAATTAGACTTTCCTCTCAACATAGAAAATATAGTGCCATGAGTCAGCTTTCCAAATCATTAAACCATTTAGCAATTGGATTTATAACCAGAAAGACATGATCAAAATAGCGTAGGGGGGCAAAGCTGAGTTCTGCCAGCCTGGCAGCATGTTGGTGTCCTATTGCTCCCTATTTAGAAGGGATGTTGGAAAATAAACTTGATTTTAATATTTAATTAGTCATTCCAAGTATTTGCCTTAAATATTGTATGTGGGCATTTAGTGGCCGGCTATATAGTAAATTGTAGGAATCATAACTTATAAATATTATGGTTTTTTTTTTTTTTTTTTTTTTTTTTAAATATATCCCGGCAAGTAGATAAATATTATGTTGGAAGTTATATAATTCAAGAGACAAGAGAGTTAAGACTACTAATAGTCATGTTAGTAGGAGTTATGCTTATGCTTACTGGTCATATTAGTGAGAGTAAAAAGAGTTATTAGGCATTTATATGTAATTGTTACACATATGTCTTGGGGGCCTATATAAGTAAATAAGATGAAATAATACTATAAGTGGAATAAAAATATTTCCAATTATTCCTCCATCTATTTCTCTTCCTAAATATAGAGTTGTGTGTAGCCCACTTACTTCCAACCACGTGTTATTAGAGCAAAAGCTAAGAGAGTTAAGACTTCTAATAGTCATTTTAGTAGGAGTTATGCTTATGCTTACTGGTCCTATTAGTGGGAGTAAGAAGTGTTATTAGGCATTTATATGTAATTGTTACATATGTCTTGCGGCCTGTCTAAGTGAATAAGATGAAATAATACTATAAGTGGAATAAAAATATTTCCAATTATTCGTCCATATATTTCTCTTCCTAAGTATGGAGTTGTGTGTAGCCCACCTACTTCCAATTGTTATTAGAGCAAAAGCCAACAGGCCTTGGTACTCACTCATTCCATGTTCAACCCTTTTGAACGTGAAAAACAAGTCTCTTACACAGCAGAAAATGAAAGACCTTGAAATACAACACCAAGACCAAAAATCATGCTCCTTTTTTTGGGGCTGCTTGAGTTGTTCCTGTTTTGGGAGCTGCTTGAACTGCTCCGGTTTTTGGAACTGCTTCAGCTGAAGACGAACCTTTTGTTGGAGCTGCTTCCGCTAACGATGAACCTTTTCCTGAAGGTGAAGGTGAAGCTGCTGAATCACAAGGAAGCAGCCACTTGGAAGCCTCTATATAGGCAAGGGATATATAGGGTTTAGCTTCTGCCTCACTTAGCTGCTTGGCGAATTTAACTCTGCCTTTAGTATCTGCCCCTGGACCATTGTTCTTGAATTCTCCATAATAAACCGTCCTGTGATTAAAACCAATCGTTGTCTTTTAATTAGTACCAAACATAATTAGTACATATATATATATGACTAAACAAGAATATAAATATATATGTGTGTGTGTATATATATATATATCTATTTGTGTGTGTGTGTGTGTGTGTATATATATAGTGACTAGCTCACTTCTCATTTTCATGGTCCAAGTTTTCTGACCATCCTTCAGCCTTGACCACCTCGCTCATTGTACTGTAGGAAAATATCGCCTTGGAGTGAGGGAACCAAGCTCTGCCCAAGATACCGTTACTAGCAGCAACACCAGTTACATTGCAATGGACAAATGAGTAGCCGGTGTCTGATTGATCGTCTTTTTTACCATTTGCCGTAATAAACGCCACATTGTCGCCAGGAATTACATGTAATTCAGTGTTCTAAACATCCATGCACAATAGTACAATATTAGTATCTCTACCAAGAGCTAGCTAGAATTCAACTTTCGGAAAAAAAAAAAAAAAAAAAAAAAAAAAAAAAAAAAAAAGTTAGCTAGAACATTTATCTATCAATTTATGCACATATATATTTTTGATTATAGGAAAAAAAAAAATAAGAAGAAGAATTAATTTTGGTCACGGTAAGTGTTGCAATGATTTAAATGAATAAAATGATATATTGGTCACTTGTATTACTTTCTTTTTCGAAAATTGAAGAAAATTTCTTTTATTGCTTTTATCATTAGTCACTGTTAGAGCTAGCTTCTTAATACTAACCACATATAAAGATTTCGCATCGCCGAAGACGAAATCACAAGTGCCTTCAATATAGCAGTCCTTGAAGAAATGTCTGCCCTTGTAATCAAAAAGGGTGTCTTGAAATCCATACATGTTGCAGTTATAAATTGCTGACATGTCGCCGCCAAGTCTCAAAGCCAACGCCTGCTTATTCTTGGCCCCCACTTCCGGTCTTGGTGCCGAATTCTGAAACACCAACAAACCCATTAAAGATTATAACACACACAAAACAAATGTACACTGCACGTAAGAAATAAAAAGAAGACAACAAACAGCATATATGTGTGTTTATATATATACACGAACGGACCTTAAAATTTATATTAACAGCCATGAAGTAATCAGAATCAACAATCACAGCAGCACTTTCCGCAGTTCCGTTTAGGGCTGCAGTACATCCAAAAATCAAAAATGGCTTATTTTTGGGATCAGTACCCATCAACGTGACAAACGGCTTCTTCCTATCAATGGTGATTTTCTCGGTGTAGTTTCCGGGGCCAATCTGGATGATCACTCGTTGAGTGTTCCCATCTGGGATTTTCTTAATTGCTTCCATCACCGTCTTGAATTCTCCACTTCCATCTTTACACACCTTCATCACTTTAGGTTGGCCCTCTGCCTTCACAATGGCAGGGTTCAAAGTTCCCCTCCGCTCGTTGAACGGTTTCACATTGGTCTTAAACCAACTCTCCACTTGTCCCTTCTCTGCCGGAATTGGACAATTGTCGTCGGAGAGGACACTGGTGGATAAAATGCTCATCAGAACAACTGTAAACCCAGCGAGGAGTGTCTTTTTCGGGGCCATGATGATTTCTCCCACCATTATGATTTCTCCCACTAAGATATCAAACCTCGAACCTAATCCAATTGGTTGAAGTATCAGACTCCAAATCCAATCGGACTTGGAAGGATTGGAGGGTTGAATATCTGATGAATTGCTTCATTAGTGGAGGTTTAAATACTTTTGCATATGGAAGGCTATACAGCAACAGAGAGAGAGAATTGGAAGTCAAACATGTGATATGGAGGATTTTTCGCATGTTAGTGATTTAAACCATTCATTTGTTCTTTGATATAGATGGGCAACTGGGTGGTTTGAAGACCAAACATTTTCATAAAAAATCGGGTTTTCTAAGAAAAAAATTACTAAGGCCAAACATCTTCCATTTTATGCTCTTACCAAAGTAGATTTAAAAAAAAAAAAAAAAAAAAAAATATCAAATTCTAGTGTCTATTCAAAAATTGACATGTGATTCAATTTTTTGGTATTTCACTATTTAAACATGTCCAAAATTTTGTATTAGAAAGTGGATTTTTTTTTCATTTATATATTTTTATTTTCAAATTAATTAGAGAAGAGTTGTTACCAATATTTAACCACCCTAGAATGTGCAAATATCACATTAATGTTCCATTTATACCGTTACCAACTACTCTAAAATATTTTTTTATAAATGATAAATACATTGTTCATTTAAAGTGATCGAAATAACATTAGTGTACTAACATATAATAAGGCAATAAGTATTATATGTTTTTGTGGATCCATTCCGAATTACCAAAAATAAAAAATAAAAATTAATTACAGATGTGATATTCTCGATTCGTAAATTGAAAAGGGAACGGAAGTGTTGGGTTATTTCATCCACAAGTGATTGGTGTGAGTACCGGTGTTTATGGCTAGTGTAATTTGGTATTGACCAGGGTCAAAATTGAGATTAGTTTTGGATTATGTGTAACAACGTGAAAAAGATTGCCGCGCGGCAGATAAAGTGTTTTGGGTGGTTTTTTGGGCGTTGCGTCTAAGTTGATGTTTGTTAGGGGTAACTTAATTGAGGTGAATCTGCTTGGTTATAAATCTGGTGTATTCCAAAAGATGTACGTATAGGTGGGTTGCCAGCGTATGCGTATTGTTGCAGCTCCATGGTATAGGTTAGGTTGAGCAGGGTATTTCATTGAGCAGTGTGTGAGGGACAAACATTGTCTATTGGGTATTGGGGAGAGGAAAAATAGAGGGTAGTGAAAGAGATACAGAGTGTGGTGAGAGACTCTGTAGTGAGTGTTTGGGTTCTTGTATTTACTCAAGTCAGTGTTTAACATAAGTGGAAATTCCTCTGTAATTTTTTATACGATGTTGAAAGTTTGTCCCGTGGTTTTTTTCCCTCTACACTGGAAGGTTTTTTCCACGTAAATATTTGTTGTATTTGATTTGATTACGTAAGTTGAGATTGTAGTTGAGTTGGTGATATATTTTAGGCTAAGATAAAGGAAACTTACAACAGTGCTATAACTAAATTGACGGTTTCAAACTATGTGATTTGGAAGCCTAGAATGGAGTATATCCTTGATTGTACGGATTTATACAACCCTATTGAGGGTGATAGTGTCAAGCCCCTACTGATAAAAGTATCAAAGACCGGGAGAAGATCAACAGGAAAACTGTGGGGCTGGTCAGATAGTGGATCGACCCAGTGTGTTTCATCATGTTTCTCAGGAGACTAATGCTCAAAATCTCTGGAAGAAATTGGAGTCGTGGAGTCGTTGTACGAGAGGAAGACTGCACAGAATAAAGCAATTTTTATAGGAAAACCGGTGAATTTGAAGTTCAGATAAGGGAATTTTGTTGTAGAGCATTTGAGTGATTTTCAGAGTTTGATGAATCCCATAACCACAATGAAGGTCGATGTGTTGGATGATGAGTAAAAGGCATTGTTACTTCTAAGTTCATTGCCTAACAGTCAGGAAACTTTGGTGGTTTCGCTCAGCTCCAGATATGTCATATAAAGAGATTTTGTTGGCAGTGGCAGAAACAACAGGATGAAGAAGAAGGAGAATGATAGTGTAGATGTCAAGGCAGCCCCATAACAGATGAATAGTTGGTGGTGCTCACATTAAGAGGTGAAAAATGCAAATCAAGATGTTGAGTGGGTTGTAGACACGTGAGCTTCCTACCATGCTACACTTGCAAGGGAGTTGTTCGATCACGTCCTACAAAGTAGCGGATTTTGGCACAATGAAGATGGGAAATACTGGTTATAGAAGTGTGTATTGATACTAATACTCGTTGTAAATTGATGCTGAAACATGTATGCCATGCTCCTAATTAAATTGCGTCTCAATCTAATTTCTGGGATTGCATTGAACCAGTTGGGTTACTAAAATTATTTTGGTAATGGAAACTGAAAACTTACCAAGTGTTCATTGAATTACTGGCATTAGCGAAAAGCACTCACAAGTGGAAAAAGGGTGCAGATTCGTGTTTCTGATCAAATTTTTGCAAATGTGGAATGTCTCAATTATTGACAAATCATAGGGGGTGTAAATGGATTAAACCCAAAAAAAATTCCAACGATTTCAAAGCTTCAACTAGGTCTAAATTGAGAAATCATGAGAGTTCTTGTTCAATAGTGTTGTTGGTAATCTGATCAAATCTTTAATTCTGTTGTTCGATGTTGTGCATGGATACATCTATTGCTACACTAAATTGATAGATCTTTAATTTTGGTGTGCATTTTTGTCATTTTACGTCAAACACAATTAATGGAAAGAAAAAAGAAAGTTTTTGGTTTTAATAATGTGCCTTGGATAAGATACAAGAACTATTATTAAAAGTGAGTAATACTCCACCAAGTTGAATGTCGCAAAATGCACTTCTGCAGCAAGTCTTAGACACAATTAGACAGAAGCTCTTGTCATCTACAGTCTCAGATTCCCCAAGTACCAGACGCATCATTGAAGAGTGGGAACTTCCGGCCTCTGTTATACGACCACCGGGGAAGCCTCCAGACATCAGCTAAATCTTGAAGGGCGAGAACCAGTCTCCATGCTCACTTCTTAGTGTTTGTGCCCAGTTTTAGGCAAACTTTATTTTCTGTTTTTTTTTTTTTGTTGAATGGGTAAACTTTATTTTCTGTTGCTCTTGTATGGGTCGCCTCTGTGGTGTGCTTATAATTTTGGGCTTGTAATACTTGGTTAGCTTGGGCTAACTATTCAGTTTGTTCTGCTCTTGATTTTAAAATTCATTTACCTTTCAAAAAAAAAAAAAAAAATGTTGAATACTACTATCTATAATAACAATTCCTTATATATTGAAAGTGAATTTAGGCAAAAATAAATAAATGTGAATTCTCTTTATAAAATTTATATACATTTAAATATGTCATTTTCATTAAAATAATAATAATAATAAGGGGACTTTTGAGGTTTCAACGTGATTTTTGGCGTTTTATTAAAACAGTTATGTTATTAGTGTCTCAAACTTCACGTCTGTATTTCTTCATAATCTTTTGGCTCTTCACTCTTCTCTCCATTCTGATAAAAAAAATCCAACATTTAAAATAGGTTGCCTTACTGTCCACCCATTCCAACCATCTAATACTATCTATTATACTATATTTATTAGGATTCCTCCTATATTTCATGTATGATTAATTTTTTCTTGCTTTCCATTTTTTTTAAATCCTCTCCATTACTTCTGTCAAACGGTTATATTAATGGTATCTCACTTCTACCTCCAGGTTTTCCCTATAACAGTATGACTCTTTCTCCTTCTATATCTCTATGCAAAAAGTATTCTCTACGCAAAAATTGTTAGGTTTTTTTCCATGGAATTGTCAGAGATTTTGAATCCCAGATGAAGAAGAGTTTGTCATGGACATTGGATTTCAGAATTTTGAGTATTATATTTAAAGCATTAGAACAAATAAACGAAGGTATTATTTACTGTTTTTCTATTTTTATAAATTTTAAAATTATTTTATGGTGTAAATTATGTGAGAAGAAACTTTATAAATATTTTATGTATTACATCATTTTGAAAATTTTGTTCACTCTACAACCCTACTTCTTTATGGTGTAGTATATGATAATTTTTTGTTTTTTTCTCAGGAAATTATAGGCTCGGTTAAAACTCAACCAGAGAGGCTACATTTAAGAAAATAAAGATAGAGGGGATAAATAACTTGAATAAGAAGCAAGATCAGCCTGCATCTGTTCGTAATCCCTTTGGCTTGGTCACTCTTCTCTCCATTCGGTCTTATTTGCGTTACCATCCAGCCATCTAATACTATCTATTTCTATCTTTATTAGGTTTCCTACGGCGATCACAACTCCACGGGCCTTTCTCCAACAAACGCTTCATATCATAAACCATCACTTACATACATGAAATATATATATATATGTATTCAACTGCGTCTCTCTCCAACAATTGTGTCCTCTCTCCAATAACGCTTTGCTTAAATATATTCTATTCTCCATATCCCATTTCAATTCCAATGCAGTTAATGATTTAATCTGTTTGGCGTTTTGAGTTTTGAGGATACGCACAAAATATATATATATAATAGTTACCTTATCGATTGTAAGGTAATGTATAGCGCTTTTGAGTCCTAGATTAAAAAGAGTTTCTCATGGACGTGGAATTTAGGAATGTCGGGATCTTGTATTTTTTGGTGCAAAAATATATATCTTCAATTTCAAAATCAAAACTGGCAAATTATTTATTTATTTTATTTTTTATTTTTTTTCAGGTGCTTCTATTACTTGTGATGAGATATTTAACAGCACGTCTGAAATGAATCAAAGGTGATGTTTATTTCTTCCTATTTTTATTTAGTATTTACGTTATTTGAGGAGATCCACTAGTAGAAATTTTATAAACATTTCAAGAATTATTATTATTATTATTATTATTATATTAGTACCATACATTTTAAAAATATTAGTTCACTCTTTACTCTACTTCAATCAATCTCATTTATGATTTCAAATGATAAACTTTTCTCCTTCTTGGAAATTATAAACTTTTCTTAAAAACTCAATCCAAGTTTTAAACTCAACACCTGAGAATATACCATTTTGGCGCTCCACTATGTTTGAGAAGAAATATTTACCAATGTGATATTATCTTTAGCTTGAACTATTTCTTAGTTTCTTCAGATTGGGAAGAAGATTCCCTAAAGATTATGGTCTTTTGGAATGATATTCTACGAAAAATGAAGATACTAAAAGTGATCAGATACTACAATAGAGTGGCTGAGAATTTTAGCAAGGGTGTTAGGAATCTGTCTAAAATTCATTTATGACATGTCAAAAATCTATTAGCTACAGAAGTGTGATGGTAAAGCTTCCAAATTAGTTTTCAAAGGAAGCTTTGAAATTCTTGGACAACAAGAATTATTCTTGGGCAGCAACTTCCAAAGGAAGATTTGTAATATACATGGATACCAAGTATATTTTTGGCTATAAATAGCCTTCCACTCATTCGATGAAAAGTATCCGAGTAAGAGATAATATTCGGATCAAGAGAGTATATTGGTTTTGTGTGTGTGAAAAAATCATTTTGTATGTGTAATCTTCAAGTGACAGTTGAAGTTTGTCTTTGGGTGGATTTTTCTCTTTGTGTAAACCATATACTATTTGGGTATTTCTTAAAAGTATTGTGTGAGTCTTCTTTGTTAGTGAGTTAGTGGTGCGAGAAGAGGATTATTGTGGGGAAGAACCAAAACGTTCTTCAGTTTGTAATCTTCTTTATAGTGATACGAATCATCATTGTCCGTGGAGGTAATCCTATTTGTGAGGGTGAACCACGTATAAATCCTTATCTCATTTGTGTGTGTGCCTATTTTATTTTTCTTGTCATTAATTTTCTCTTGTTCTCATAAACTCTAATTCGATCCTTATTACATAACAAACTGGATCACGGGTTCGTGTCGTACGGTATTGTACGCAAATACGGTACTTTTCACCGAGAAATATTTTGGGGGGTTTTTTGAGATGTCGATTAGATACGAGATTGAGAAATTTGATGACAATATTAGTTTCAATCTTTGGCGCATTAAGTTGTAAGCCTGTTGATTCAGCAAGGTCTTGGCAAAGGAAGAGTTAGAAAGAGGAGTTACGATCCTAGTTTTTAAAAGGGTTATGAAGAGACTACATAACATGGTGGGAGAATGAAATCCGTTTTCAGATGGCAACCGAAATTGTAGCAGTCCTTATTGGGAGGCAGACCTGTGAGAATATGTGTGATATTGATTTGCAATAATCTGGGTGGCAATGAGATAGTCCATTCGAGTGCCATTAAGATGTGTGGGAGGTAAGTAGTTGGTCATAATAGAGATGCAAGGAAAAGTTAAGGACGTCATATTTTCCATAAGGGTGAGAATTAAGATAACTTTTCATTACCAACCGGTGGTTTATGGGTGGTTGGAAAATGTTGCTAAAAGAGATGTCAAACTTATAGTTTCCAAGGTTACTTTGGGTTAAAGTTTGACAAAAATACTGGAGGTATGTTTGTCGTTGCGCAAGACATGCATGGGTTGAAAAATGAAAGCCCGAGGGTTAAGTTTGAGGATGACTCAAACTTAACTAAAATTCTTTATTAATTTGTTTTGTGTTGGAGATGATGATGACGTTATTACTCACATTGTGTTGAAGAAAGACTCTATATAATGTTGTCTTATCATTTGTGCTAAGGTGGAGAAATTTTGTCAAAAATGGAGTGTCGTTCACATTTGTGGTTTATTCGAAATTTTTGCCAAGGCGAAAAATTTTAGTCAAGTTGGAGATTTATTAGAAATTTGTCTAAAATTCATTTATTACATGGCAAAAATCTATTAGCTACAGAAGTATGATGGTGAAGCTTCCAAATGAAGTTTTGAAATTCTTAGGCAACAAGAATTATTCTTGGGCAGCAAGTACTATTTGGCTTCCAAAGGAAGCTTTGTAATATACTTGGATACCAAGTATATATATATATATATATATATATATTGGGTTATGTTTATTTTGGTTAGCCTGGGCTAACTTGGAATATTTGTAACTTCTCTCCTTTTAATATTATCTTATTTTTCAAAAAAAAAAGAGATAATATTCGGATCAAGAGAGTATATTGGTTTTGTGTGTGTGAGAAAATGTTTTTGTGTGTGCAATCTTCAAGTGACACTTGAAGCTTGTATTTGGGTGAGTTTTTCTTTTTGTGTAGACTATATACTATTTGGGTATTCCTTGAGAATGTTATGTGAGTCTTCTTTGTTGATGAGTTAGTGGTGTGAGAAGAGAGATTATTGTAGGGAAGAATCAAGACATTCTTCAGTTTGTAATCTTCCTCTTTATAGTGATATGAATCATTATCGTCCGTGGACGCAACCATATTTGTGAGGATAAATTACGTATAAATCCTTGTCTCATTTGTGTGTGTGCCTATTTTATTTTTCTTGTCATTAATTTTCTCTTGTTCTCATAAATTTCTATTTGATCCTTACTACATAACACACGGCATGCATGACATGCGTGCATTCCCTTCTTTAGAGGTTTGTCTCTTATGTGATTTTAGACTTTTAGCCATTGACTTGATCATTATTTAATTTGTATGACAGACAAAAATTGATCTAAATTTCTAAAACATATGTTGAAATTATGTAATTCAGCTGCTATTCGCTGTGGCTGAACAAACAGTTTTTATAAAAATATGTCTAATAATTCAATTTTATTATATTATTATTTCAAAGTGAGTGAAATGTCTAAATTTTATTTTACTTCATAAATAAAATAAAAATATTAAAGAATATGAATATTTTAGCCGTATCCATGTATCTTTGTATTTATAAATTTGACACATCTGACACGTACGTGGATAGGTAGCTACTTTCACATATACTCCAATTCATGTAACAAACTGTTAAGATAACTTTTACAGACAAAATACAGATATGATAGTTTCACCTTTTTTTTTTCCCCTCCTTTTTATTTATTGGTGTATGCAAGTCCGGCAGATGATGAATGCATGTCGATGTTACATAAGCTCATATATAAGAAACTGCAGTTTAAACTTAATTAATCATTTATTTGACATTGAAGGGTAGTAAAATATTAGCCCGTGTGGTATCACCTCTCTTCCCCCTCATATATAAGAAAGTTTTTAATACATAGTTAAGTGTAGTTTAAATTTAATTAATCATTTATTTGACATAGAAGGGTAGTAAAATATTAGCCTCCAAATGAGAGTGATGGTTCAAATCTTATCTCAAACTTAAGATTTATAACTTGAAATGAACTATTTTTTACACACACACACATATATAGACTTTTAACCATCAATGCACATGTTTTTTTTCTAATATATATATATACACTATATATGTATTGAAAACCATTTTTTTCTTTCCCCGAAGGATAAAGCAAAATTGAAAACCATTTTAATCAAGGAAAGCTTGATAGCGTAGATGCTGAAGTGGTAAAACATATATAAAAGGAAATATCACTTGGCTGTAAATGTAATAGTGCACTAGCCACTGAAACTTTTTATCCACTTTTAGAAAGTTTTGTATACTCTCTCTCAAGGAAGGGCATTTGGAAACACTACCGCAACCTCTATAACACAATCTAATTAAAACCACAACATGCAGGCGACGAATTCTCTATATCACATATCAACTACTCTCTCTCTAAATGCATAGTCTTACATATACCCATGAATTTTAACCATCCATTAATGAAGCAATTCATCATATATTCAAAGAAACACAAAATTAAGAAAACCACCCCTAATAATATATATGGCCGCGAAAATGACGCACATTGCCGTACTTGCACTTCTTTTCAGCATTTTTTCCACCACGGTCACCTCCGACCTCTACGACACCATTCTCAACTCCCACCACACCACTGCCATCTCCGACATATCCAATGACACCACTGTCTTCAACGACAACACTATCCTCGTCTCGGACGTCAACCACTGGACACTGATCCCGGCCGATAAGGCCCAATTGAACAATTGGTTTCAGACCAATGTGAAACCGTTCATGGACCGGAAGGGCATTTTGGACCCTGCCCTTGTCACGGCCGAGTCTAGTCCTAAAGTGATCACGGTGAGGAAAGACGGACGTGGCAATTTCAAGACGGTGAGTGATGCAATTAACAGCATCCCATCTCAGAACACTCAACGAGTCATCGTGTCGATTGGGCCAGGAATCTATACCGAGAAAATCAAGATTGATCAAACCAAACCGTTTGTCACGTTGTACGGTGACCCAAATCATATGCCAACTTTGGTTTATGGGGATACAGCAAACATGACAGGAAGTACTATGAACAGTGCTTCAATGACCATTGAAGCTAATTACTTCAGTGCTGTTAATCTTATTATTACGGTATGTATGTACTTTTATATTTATATACATGTATACATCTATATTTCCTTTCAAAACACTGTTGTAGTCTTCTTTTTCTTCTTTAATTAATATGAATCAGAGGATAAGTCTTTTACACATTTGTTATGCAACAACTTTACGTCACTCAGCTTTAACTAAAAAAAACTTTACGTCACTCAGGTGACGAGTTGGCATATGACATCATGTGATACAGGAATTTAAAGTATCCGGTTCTAATTAATATAATGGATGTATGTGTACAAGTAATGTTTGTTTGTGTTATATATTTTAATGGTACTATGTTCATGTTTCAGAATTCAGCACCAAGACCGGACCCAAGAAGTTATAATGAGCAGGCGGTGGCATTGTTAGTCGTCGGTGACAAGGCAGCATTTTATAACTGCAGAGTCTATGGATTTCAAGACACCATTTGTGATGACCAGGGCAGACATTTCTTCAAAGACTGTTACGTTGAAGGCACTGTTGATTTCGTCTTTGGCTTTTCGAAATCTCTATATTTGGTTGGTATCAAGAAGCTATAACAGTGACCAATGATAAAAGTAATTTACGTGAATGATAGATTAATAGTGTACTTTACTTTGATGCTTTGGTGCAGAACACTGAGTTACATGTGATACCGGGCGACAATGAGGCCTTTATCACGGCACAAGCAAGACTTAACAGTCGTGATAATTCCGGCTTCTCATTTGTTCACTGCATGGTAACTGGTACAGGCAAAATCGCTGTGTTAGGCAGAGCTTGGTTGCCTTTCTCTAAGGTGGTATATGCGTACACTGAAATGAGTGATGTGGTCAATCCTTATGGATGGTCAGATAACTTCCACCGTGAACGTGACAGGTGAGCCAACATCCTTGTTTAGTTATACATATCTTAATTCTTTATCAATTCTTAGTTTTCCAATTTTGGGATCTAACTTTTAATTCCATGTATACTCCATCTAGCTATATTGTTAATGGGGTAGTTAATTTGATGGTGACCAGGGTGCACTACTATGCAAGTGCTGCATTACACCGTTCACATTATTGTGACCCCATCTAATACTATGATGTGAACCCGTCAGATGCAGTGCTCATACATGCGTGTGTGATTGATGTGATCCATTGAATGTAGTACAATATTTGTGCTCTCCTGCAGGGATCGAAACTCAATTCGATTAAAGTTGTTCATAATTGCACAGCACAAGTCACAGTTCCCAAAATATCCAAATATTTTGGGATAGAGGGAGTAATACATTGGGGTATTACCATGTGATACTTTACTCAATGAAAACACTTCGTTCCTCTTGAAAACTCTTAATTTCTTTTTTTATCAAGGAAAATGGAAAGTTCCTATAACTCTCTATTGGATGGAGGTAGCACCTGTATGTACTCCCAATCCCGGAGTATTGAATAATTTACTATAAATTTCATACTCCCTCCGTCCCATATTAGATAGAGGTGCAACTTGGGTTGGGAAATTCAAACTCAATTCAATTTTTCACGGATTTGGGCAATCATTTTTACAATTAGGGTTAGGCTTGGATTGAAAAATTTCAACCCGAATTGAATTAGAGTTGAGTTTAGGTTGAAGTGCTAGCAATTCGAGTCAACCCGAACTTGAATTATATATAATATTATTTTCATATATATTTTTACTTTAAAATACATTATATATTATTTAAATTATGATTACCTTTTTTTTCTTTTCAACTTCCTTTGTTAAATCTTAACTTATTTTAAAAATCTACAAAAGTTCTTTGAATTTTTTTTTTTTTTTTAAGACTAATTTAATCTAAAACTAATTCAAGATCATATTAAATTTTTAGTGTGAAGATTAGCCATATGAGTAACCCGAATTAACCCGAAGTTTTAACACAAAATCTAAACCCGAGTTACAAGCCTGAATTTAAAACTAGAATGATGGGTTGGGCTCGAGTTGAGTAGTTAGGGTTGAGGATAGGGTTAGGGTTGGGCTTAGGTTTAACATTTTATATGGTGGGTTGAGCTCAAGTTATAGCTCAAATCCGCTCGAATTGCAGCCCTAATATTAGATGTCCATGGATAGAAATTAGAGTTTTCAAAGAAACATGCCATTAATGTATTGTCCTCTTTTTAAAATTACCAACTTGTCATTTTTAGTTTAGATATATATAGTTACCAAGTTTGAATATTTTTTAAAAATATAAAGGGAAATGATAAAAAATAAGACTTATTTGCTTTGACTTTTCAAAATGAACAGCTAATTTATAATATTAAAAATGAAATAGTGAACTACTAGTATGAGAATAGAGGTAGTGTGTATTTTTTTTCGATTGGTATGTAAATGTTTGGTAATATTTATAAGGTATCTGATCGAAGATGGATTTAATTGCAGGAGAGTATTTTATGGGGAATATAAGAACACAGGTCCAGGATCAGTTTCCGGTGGCAGAGTAAAGTTCTCGAAGGAGCTAACTGACAGAGAAGCTTTACCCTATATCATTCTTGCCTTTATAGAGGGTTCCAAGTGGTTGCTTCCTCCATGGCATTAAGTTTTTGGGAACTGATGTAGTACAGTTTTTATAACTTTTAGAGACTGTTTAAGTGTAATTAGATTTTCTTACGTTTTCTTTCCTACAGCAATTAGTTTTCTTACGCGTTTCTTAGAGTCAAATTTTTTTATTTTTCTATAAACGCAAGAGCAGAAGAATTTATTTAATTATTAAATATTTAGTTGATTCTAATTCTTTTTTCATATATTATGGCCATTCTCTCTCTTTCTCACTTAAAAAAAAAAAAAAAAAAAAATATTTTGAAATTTTTAATAAAAAATACACCTCTTGTCAAATCCTGATCCAATAACCTATAAAATCATATACGGATTCACTTTAAGATAATTCTTCGGATCAGATCACATATATTTCTTATCGAATTCGAATCGAATAAGATCAAATCCAATCCAAATTCAATCCCACTTTTTACCTTGAAAGGAAAATATAATGCCCAATCTAATAGTCCATATATGCAACAAATAAGAGAGTCAACCCTTCACTGCCTTGTCTTGTGTATAAATGATCAATCACAAATTTCGATTAAGTAATTCCATGCAATTCACTAATTGTAAAAAAGTAGTATTGAATAACTTTTCATTTCTTTACCCATGTACTTATGGTTGGTAATGTTTAAAAGGTAATTGAAGATGGATTCAATTGCATGAGGCGCCATGAGGGTGTTCAATGGGGGAATACAAGAACACTGCTCCAGGATCAACCCTGTGGCAGAGTTAAGTTCTCGAAGCAATTAATGCTACGTTTGGTGTGTAAGAATGGAATGGAATTCAAGTGTGAATGGAATGAGAATGAGAATGGAATAGAATGATCATTCTCATTCTATTGTTTGGTTGTAAATATGAAATGTGTAGGAATGAAATGATAATAACCATTCTAATGTTTGGTTGGACCAATTTAAAATTTAGAGTGGAATAAATTTCTAATTGAATTCTCCAAAATATCTCTCTTAGTAACAAATAAATAAAATAAAATTAACAAAATGATATTCTCTAATAATTTTTTAAAAATAAATGGTGGCAGTGGTGGTGGTGGATGGTGGAAAGCGGTAGTAGTGTAGGTGGTGATGTTGGAAGACGACGGTGGTGGTAATGGTGGAAATTGGTGGCAGTAGTGGTGGTGGAATGTGACAATGGTGTTGGTGAAAGGCGGTGGCAGTAGTGTAGTGGTTGTGGTGGAAGGAGATAGTGGTGTGACTATGGTGGTGGTGGAAGGTGGTGACGATGGTGGTAGTGGTGGAAAGCGCGCGGCAGTAGTGGTTGTGGTAGTGGTGGCGGTGGTGGTGATGGTGGTTGTGATGTAAAGTGGTAGAAGGTGATGGCAGTGGTGGAAAACGATGGCAGCGTTATTGGTGGTTGTGGAAGGCAACGGCGGTGGCGGTGGCGGTGGTGGTGAAAGGTGACTGTGGTGGTGGTGAAAGGCGGCGGAAGTGGTGGTGGGCTGTGGCGATGGCGGTGGTGGAAGGTGGTGGTGGTAGTGAAGGTAGTAGCAATGGTGATGGTGAAAAGTGGTGGTAATGATGAAAGGCGATGGCGGTGGTGGTGGTGAAAGGCAATGGCAATGGTGGTAGTGGAAGGTTTTAGGGGTAGCGGTGGTGAAAGGCAGCGGTGGTAAAAGGTGGCAGTAGTGGTTGCGGTAAACTGTAGCGGTAGCGGTGGTGAAAGGTGGTGGCAGTAACGGTGGTGGTGGTGAAAGGTGGCCGGTGATCGATGGTAGGGAAATGCAGTAGCAGTGATGGTGGAGGAAGGTGGTGGCAGTGGTGAAAGACGATGGCGGTGGTGGTGGTGGAAAGTGGTGGGCGATGGTGAAAGTCGGTGGTGGTGGAAGGCAGTGGTGGTGGTGGTGGTGGTGGTGAAAGGCGGAAATGATTGTGGTAGAAGGTAAAGTGGTTTTTGGACTTGACATATGAGGGTGTTTTGGGAAGTCGATTTTTTAAAATAAATTAATTGGGAATGGAATGGTCATTCCATTGGTTTAGTTATGAAATGGATTTTCATTCCAATGAAATGGCCATTCCTACTTTAAGTTGCATACCAAACAAATAAATGGTTGGAATGAGCATTTCATTCTATTCCATTCCTCCATACCAAACGTAGCATAAGAGACAGAGAAGTTTTACCCTTGCCTTTATACATAGAGGGTTCTGAGTGATTGCTTCCTCCTTGGCATTAAGTTTGTAGGAATTGATTTAGGACAGTTTTTTTAATTTTTAGAGAATATGTTTAACTTAATTGTAGTTGGGTTTTAATTCTCATGTTTTTAATTAATTTTCTTATTTTTTCAATTTGCTAAAGTAATTAGTTACGCTATTAAGTTTCTTAAATTCAATACAACAAATTGAGATTGACCAATTTAGGAAAAAAAAAAAAATTTGAGATTGACCAGCGTTCTTTTTTAAAACACTAGTGTTGCGTATAATTATGACCCCCCCCCCCCCCCCACCCTTTTTCTTTTTGCATCAAAAGGTAAACAAACAAAAAAAATCATAGCAAAATCACAAAATTTTTAAGTAGTGATTTAATTAAATATGCATATTGATTTAAGGTACAACAAAGTAAACAATCATACTCCATCTCCAAGCACTTCGTGAATCCTAACAACCAAAGAAAACAAGATTTTGTTTAATTACTTCAGTCTTAAATTAACAAGCAAAAAAGGTGTTTTTCAGTAACGTAAATAAAAAATTCAAATAAAAGAATTTATTGTTCAACTGAAAAAGGACAAAGTTAAAATGTTTGACAAATATAAGAACCAAAATGTAAATTGGAACCATAGTTTTTTAAATTGAAACCCAAAATCGTTGACACATAGCACAAAAAACCCACATATTGTAAACAAAATTATATATAATATATTTACAATCAAAACAGAGAATGCGCATCTCAAATCTCAATCATATGGAATTCATGTAAAACGGAGAACGTACAAACAACTATATAGTCTATACAACTGATTTCACAGTTCCAAACTTCCAATCATGTGTGTTAGTATAAAGATTCTGTCTATTTTATTATAGCCGTTGCATATTGATTATTGCCGTGATTATAGCTTAATCACAATTGTATAGTCGTTGCCCAGTAGCCTATTTATTGGCCCCTTTGTACATGCTCCAAATACATCTTCAATATACAGAACACTTCACATTGTATATCTCTGTCTCTCTCTTGTATTCAACAATGTGAATCCTGTGAAATTCTTTTTTTTTTTTTTTTTTCATATAAAAAAACTAAGGTTTCTAAATTGTATAAAATAAAAATAAATTTTACCAGTAAATGATGTAAATCAAAGAGTGAATCTTTGATCTTTCCTCCTGATTCTATAGCAAACGATGGTGCTTCAAAGTTCAATCAGAGCATAAATAGTCAAATTCATGTGTAAGAGAGTTGAGAATGGAGACCTGGAATTTCTTTCCAAAAACAAATGAAACAGAGAGTTGAGTTATGCCTTGTGGAGTTGTTTTTTACTTTTTTTTTTTTTTTTTTTAACGGAATAAAGAATGGAAAAGTTGTTTTCCAAATAGTAAAACAAAAACAAATGGCGGTAACATTGAGTGGAGTAAAAGCTGATTCAAATTTCAATTATATTAATATAAAATAAAAAGTAGGAAAGCACATGGAGTTGCATTGCAGGTATTGTGGGAGAATGTTTTGCTAGGTAAAGGATAGAATCACCCCTTGGTATATTATTATTATTATTATTTTATTTTTTGGAGGGGAGGCGTATTTGAACTTTAATATATATATATATATATAATCATACTAAATTTTTTTTTTTTTTGGAGGGGTGAATGTGTCCTCTGGTCACACGGTCCTTCCGCCAGCACAAGTCCCTAAAATACTTGCGTTACACGGTCCCTTCGCCAGCACAAGCCCCTGAAAAACTTGCTTGAACATAAAGAACATTAGTAAGAGCAACTCTTTCCCATATAGTGAAATTTTTTTTGGAATAGTTGGAACTATTGTATAATTGAATGAATTAATTCAATTATCAATAATATATTAGAATTTTTTAAAATTTTTCTTTAACTTTGTGGATTCAAAATAACTCCTTGTTCTTTGTGTGCATTTCATATCTTCCACTTTGTCAAAAACATGATCTTCGACATAAGTTCCATCATATGAGGTATAATGTTGGTGTTAGATATAGAGACAGAAATATAGATGTATGTTTTTTTTTCTCTGGTAAATTAATTGTATTAAAGAATAAGGGACACGTGCGGTACGTCAAAGCCCAAACACCAGGACAACAAGCCAGGGATAAACAAAAAAGCTCAACCCCAACAAGACCCAAACTTAAGCTTGTGCGGGTGTATATATATTTGTGTAATATTGCAACAAGATGCCGTATAAAAGAGACTTATTTTTCATGTACAAATGGAGTATAAATTTAAGAGTAGTGATATTTGGGCCGAATTCTCAAAGTGAATTGTCTGACTTATAAGTTTTTTATCGGTCATCTTTACTAAATAAAAGAAAGTAAAGGGTTCCACTTCCTTATATTTGGCTAATTTTTTTTTTTATAATTATTAATGATCAAATCAAATACGAATTGCCAAGATGAGTAAATTTGTTCATGTCTGTTGATGATGGATTCTGTGCAACCTGGATCTGATCTGACTTCCTGAATAAAGAGAAGAAAAAGTGATCGTACGAACACCGGTGTGTTACCGGTGGAGTAGGCTCCGACGAACAAGTCAATGTGAATGATAATCTCCCTGGAGAAATCGAGAAATTGAGTTGGGGTTTATTGCGTACCTCAAAACGTTGATTCCCCTGCCTTTTTTATAGGGCTTAGGTTAAGATGTCACGTAGAATTACCTTATTGTAATCTGTAGACTTAATCCTCATCGTAATCTTTAATCCTTATCACAATCTTTAATCCTTATCGTAATCTGTAAAGCCTATCTCAATCTGTAATCCTTATCGTAATCTGCAGAGCCTATCTCAATAGTGCGTTAATTTAGTAATCTTCCCTTAATTATGGAT